CTTGTTAAGATACAGCCCCTTAATGGGGGTACATAAAATTTGTATAACAATTTTTTTCACAGGTACTGAAAAGTTACAATATTGAAATTAACCTGACGTTTTGTACTACCAAAAAGACACTTAGTCAGTAATTTATTTGGTTCACACCATGATTGTAAGGGGTGGAAAACGGAATCCCTAAAATTTATTTCCAATGTAACTTTTTGTCTTATTATTTGTTCATCATTTAAAAATTTATTTCCGATAGCATGTTTCATTCTAAACAAAAAATGTCTCTTGGGTTTTTGGAACAAAATAAACCAGTTCGCAGCAAAAAATTATTTTACGAACAACTACAGAGATACATCGTCATAAATGCGAACTGGATTTATTGTTATTTTGTAGTTAGTACCTGCATTAAACGATTGAAGGGTAATAAACAAAACTAATTTATCAATAACAAAACACACAACATGTAGAAATGATAGTAAATGTTCAATATGTCAGACATTACGCATGCCTCCAGACGTCGGCGCATTGAACAACGTATTCGCTCAAATATTCCTGGAGTCTCTCTAATTACCCTGCACGCATCGATGATGCGGTTTTTTGTCCTCTACATCGCAAACAGGAGTACGATAAACCGAATGCTGTAAATGGCCCCAAATAGAGAAATCGAGAGGATTGAGATCCAAGGATCGAGCGGGCCAGTTATGTGGTCCTCCTCGACCTATCCACTGATTTGCATATGTTTCAGTTAAATGCTGACGTGCTACTTGACTTAATGGGCGGGAGCCCCATTATACATAAAAAACATATCCCTTCTGACGCCCAAAGGAACTTCCTTCAGCAGTACTGTATGCACTTCTCTTAAAAATTGAACTTATGCCTCACCATTTAATGGAGGAGGTAGAAAGTGAGGCCCAATTAAATCATCCCCAATAACTCCGAGCCACACGTTAAGAGAAAACTGTTCTTGATGATTAGTTTCAACAATAGCGTGAGGGTTTTCATCAGCCCATATGTGGTAATTGTGAAAATTAATAATCTTGTCCCGAGAAAAACTACATTCGTCTATGAATTCTATCGTCTTCAGAAAGTCACAATTTCTTCTAATAGCGCGGTAACAGTGCCTGTACTCGTTTCAGATGGTAAGGGTATAAGAGTTGTTCCTTTAAAATTCGAAATACCGTCATATAATCAACATTTAGCTGGAAAGGAATCTTTCTAGTACTGGTAGTAAGTTGTTCTTCAATCAAATTAAGTACTGCTTCCTCAAGCTGAAGTGTTCGTACTTCTCGATGGCGACCACAATCCTGCGTTCTTTTGTCGAATGAACCATATTCTCGTAATGGTTGATGAAGTCGAGCAAATATTCTATGTGAAGGATACTACCGTTGAGGATACATTTCAGCATATCTTCTAGAAGCTTCTAACCCATTCTCCTGCGACAGACTGTAAACGTAATGCATATCAGCCATTTTCTCATTTGTGTATGCCATTTTAATAACAAGTGAATTATTAAAGTAACATATTAAGAACAGAACAACAACACACAATTAGTATTAATTCAATTCCGAAAACTCACAAACTGACAGCATCATACCAATTTAATTGTCACTATCGCTAATAGCAACCTACTAGACAGATTAGTTTCGTATTTTCGCATTTATGACGATTTATCTCTGTAGTGGTTCCTAAAATAATTTTTTGCTGCGAACTGGTTTATTTTGGGCAAAAAACCCAAGAGACATTTTTTGTTCAGAATAAGACAGACTCTCGTAAATGAATTTTCAAATGGTAAACAAATAATAAGACAAAAAGTTACATTGGAAATGAATTTTAGGGGTTGCGTTTTCCACCCCTTACAACCATGGGGTAAACCAAATAAATTACTGGCTGAGTGTCTTTTTGGTGGTACAAAACATCAGGTTAATTTCAATATTCTAACTTTTTTAGTGCTTGTGAAAAAAATTGTTATACAAATGTTATGTACCCCCTTTAAGGGGCTGTATCTCAACAAGGGATACTCCAATGAAATTTCTTTATATGAAAGATCCTATCTTATTTTCGATGAGGAATCACCTCCTCAAATGTTTTACACTTATTTACACCAATATTACCAATTTCCTTATTGCAAACTATATTCAAGGGAAAAAATTCAAATCTATTTGAACATTGAGGTACAATCCCGAATTTTTGTAGTATTCCAAAAATAGAGAAAAATAACTTTCAACTTCTACCAGCCACCTAACGCATGTTGACAAATGATGGATATTTTTAAAACTGAATCACGATGTCAAGGAATTATTCTGAAATATCCCCAAGTACTCCCAGGTTGTTAGCTAAGAGCTACGGGAGTTTCTTCTTCGGGATCCTTCCAATGGTTTGGCATGACTTCCAGGTCGTGGTCAGTGTCTCGATTGGGACTGGGTTGATGCTGTAATTTAAGGTAAATAGGGGACGAATGCATTATTAAACTCAATTGTCCTTAAAAAACAAACCTGAGTAAGAGAAAGCGACGACATTTTCCTTTACGAAAACGTCATGTGATCTATGGGATCAACAGAAGACTCAATTCTCGAATTTCGAAAATAAATGAGGCTTCCAAGGCGTTCCATTGCAAGGCCAAGCATCGACATCAACAGCAGGACGGCATTCATTTTCTGTTTTTCACCTCAGCTCTCACTATGATGAAACTAGAGTTCAAAAAAAGGATTCGTGATTCAAACCAGGCAGCATTGTTTCGACCCGCCAAAGATCTCATCAGATGTGCTAGGCTGAACAACAAATGCATTAATTGAATAGAACTGGCCGATACTTGATGAAAATCCACATTGAAACTAATTAATACTGTTTATTGTATGATTTTCACTATAAAGGGTTTTTACAAAAACCGCGACACGTGTTTCGCTTTACAATAGCTTTCTCAAGCGTTTATAGTGAAAATCATACAATAAACTGTCTTAAGGAATCTATTGTATAGCGAAATACGTGTCTCGGGTTATGTAAACACTTTTTATGGTGAAAATCATACAATAAACTGTATTAATTAGTTTTAACGAATACATTGCTGAAATTTGAAATATAGTACTTGCAGATTCTTAAAGGGAACAACTTGTTTCGAAACAAGTTCCAATTTTTTTTACTTTTAGGTCTATGATGAAGACAATTAAGGCAATAATGTACATATTCATAAGGAGGTACTGCTTTTTCTACTTCAACTAATCTAATTGAACGACCTACAACCTACAACTACAAATACGGGTTGATGTATCGACTGAATTCAGTTGATTGTTGATGTTTACAGTTGATGCTTGAAGGTATTAAGAAAATAACATGATTTTTGTGGTAGTGGAGTTGATTATTGTACAAAATACCTCGTAAAAATATTCAAACACTGTTTTGAGGTTTTCCAATATATCTCAAATATAAGTTGCCACACAAAACAGGTTCAGAAAAGAAGCATTTTTCATAATTCAATTCAACGAATAAGTTATTCGACAAGAACTTCACTTGTCTTTCTTCTCATTCTGATTTACAATTGACAAATCGTTCATTATCGATACAGTTTGCATATCCTACATAAATATATTTGCAATATTAGCAAAACGTAGTTGACCTAGTTATAAATGAAAATGATTAATGTACAGGGTATATATACATAAATAAATATTTAAAAGAATAAGTACAATTATCTAAAGGGCACTACACCCGGTTATATTCAACAACAAATAATTATTTGTTGCGAAGATCTCTTATAAGGTCACTCAACTCTGCTTGACTAATTCTGTGCGGATCACTAGACCTATCGCTTACCTCAAAATCAGGGTCATAGGATGTAGAAGGATGGGTTGCTCCTTCTAAACAGTCTTCATCACCTTCCTCTAAAATTTCATAGTTTTGGGGTGGAGAAGGGACTGGCAAATTGTCTGAGTGTGGTACAGGCCGAAGAGCAGATGGGAGATTAGGGTATTTAACCGTTCCTCTTTTCTTCATAGATAAACCTTGCTTAATGGGAGGAGTTAAGCAGAAATAACAGTCGTCTGTATGATTGGTAGGCTCACGCCAAACCATAGGTACTGCAAAAGCCATTGCCCGGTTTTTATTTTTCAGCCACTCTCGCAATATGACGGAACAACAATTACAACATATATGAGGAGCTCATGATTTATCTTGGTCCCCCACTTTCACACCAAAATAATATTCATAGGCTGTCTTAACGATAGGTGTCATTTTACGTTTCTGAGCCTTAAATGTTATTTCACCACATATATAGCAAAAGCTATCGACAGAATTCACACACTTTCGAGGCATTTCAGATCAGCACTTAAATTAATTTAAAAATCAACTTCACACGATAATTTCAATAGCAACCACGTGCGTACAATTGACAAACTCACATAGGTTATGTTTACTACTTAAGAACAGCTGATGAGAGGGGTGTTATGTAAACAAACATGTGTACCAACTGTTGGTGATGAAATATTTCATTTGTTGGAAACTCAATATACATATGTATAATATAATGATACTATATCTTGAAAACAAGAGCTAATATATAATTTTTATGGTCACTTTCGGTTTTAACACGTGGAAATACATTAAAATCATCTAATTTCAACCCCGAAACAAAAACTTTGTTGTGTTGTGTAATTAATCAAAAATAATACCAGGAAAACTCAAAATGTTATCAATGAATTTCCATGTTTCAACGAATACTTCATTAATTTAGCAATTACATGAGAGCAACCGGTATGATATAACTTTCATCTAGTTCTTATTGCTCGATTGGTATTGCTCAGTTCTAAAATATAGTTCGAAATTGAGCGTTTTGTTGTTATGAAACTCCGTTTTACACCATTTTATCACTTTAAATGAAATCAAGAATTTCTCCCTATATTACTTTCTAACCACATTACATTAATTAGTCGTCTTAGCCAAGCTCGATTCTCGCTAACTTTCCTAATTCCCCCTGTAGTGAGTTAACGATAACAATTACCAACTCATTCGCCTTTCAGGACGAGAAGAATCAGATCCTAACGACGAATTGCTGGATCACGCAAATCTGGATCGATCATCATCTGAGATGGAACGCATCTGATTTCGCAGGTATCAAAGTCATCAGGATACCGTACAACAGAGTATGGAGGCCGGATTTAATTCTATATAACAAGTGAGTGTTTGATTAAATGTCGCAATTTAATTAACTGAGCTGAGGTCGTAGACCAGCCCGCATGAAAAGGTTTTTTCCTAGACGGTGTAGGGGTAATGAGAGGGTGTCGACCAAGTCGCAACTGCCAAAACCACATCCGCATTTTTCAGAGTGTACCTACAGGCAATCAGCCCGCCCCCAGAAAGTTTGCTTTATAAAGCGTGTTTTTTATAGAGGTATAGAACTTTTAGTTGCAATAAAACAACGATGGATTATTCGATTGACATGAATTTTATTTATCCGAAAGATAATCTTGTGGCATTACATTTTAAATATGATTTCTGGCATATGACCGCCACGGCTGGCGCGGATGTAGTCCAATCTGGACGTCCAATTTTCGATGACTTTTTCCAACATTTGTGGCCGTATATCGGCAATAACACGGCGAATGTTGTCTTCCAAATGGTCAAGCGTTTGTGGCTTATCCGCATAGACCAATGACTTTACATAGCCCCACAGAAAGTAGTCTAGCGGTGTTAAATCACAAGATCTTGGAGGCCAATTCACAGGTCCAAAACGTGAAATTAGGCGGTCACCAAACGTGTCTTTCAATAAATCTATTGTGGCACGAGCTGTGTGGCATGTTGCACCGTCTTGTTGAAACCACATCCCCTGGACATCATGGTTATTCAATTCAGGAATGAAAAAGTTAGTAATCATGGCTCTATACCGATCACCATTGACTGTAACGTTCTGGCCACCATGGTTTTTGAAAAAGTACGGACCAATGATTCCACCAGCCCATAAAGCGCACCAAACAGTCAGTTTTTGTGGATGTAACGGTGTTTTGACATACACTTGAGGATTACCTTTACTTCAAATGCGACAGTTTTGTTTGTTGACGTAGCCATTCAACCAGAAGTGCGCTTCATCGCTAAACAAAATTTGCTTATGAAAATTGGGAACAACGGTAATCTCGTTTTGGGCCCATTCGACGAATCTACGCCTTACTTGATGATCGTTTGGCTTCAATTCTTGCACGAGTTGGATTTTGTAAGCACGCAAACCAAGATCCTTCCGCAAAATCTTCCATAAAGTGGATGGACACAGATCCAATTCCTGTGCTCGATGACGGATGGACTCCTCCGGCTCTTCCTCAATGCTACGCTGTACAGCAGCAAGAGCTTCTTCTGTACGCACCGTACGGCGTCTCTGGGGATGCGAGTTGTCAATAAGAGTAATCGTGATAAGAAAACGTTTCATGGTTAATCGAATTAACTGCTCTGATGGACGATTTTGTCGACGATAAAATGGACGTAGTGCGCGATACGTTTTCCGCACAAAACCATTATTTTCGTAATAAAATTGCACTATTTGCAAGCGTTGTTCAGGCGTGAGTCTATTGATGATGAATTGCCAAACCAAACTAAGAATAAATCACTTAACAGCTGTTAAGTCGGTCGCCATCTTGAAAAGTAATGCCAACTTAAAGTTCTATACCTCTATAAAAACACCCTTCAGTTCAGAGCGATTAGAATTTCTATGCTGAATTACAGGCGGCTGAATGTTTTACTATTAATTTACAACTCCTGATATGTGAAATGTTTCATGAATGGTTCCAGAAAATCCTAATGTTAAAAGTTTCTTTAAAATACTAGGAATTGAACAGCTATACCGGCTTGTGTACAACTTAATAAAAACATCAATAATTTTGTTGAAATTGCAACTGTTTGTTCATTGTCAAGTTGATACCACAAGAAAGTCAAATGTTTTGATCTTAGTGCCAAAAATTATCAGGTAGATAATTGCAGACTAAGTAAAAATAAAAATACGTGTCAATGACCTGTCGATTGTAGATCAAGCGAAAAGTCTGGGGCTCATCCTCAAAAGTAATTTGAGGTTAGAAACCCACGTAAAAAAAGTTATTCACATAACTCATGGCACTTTTATGGTTATTTATGGAAATAAAAACTTTCTAACAAAGGTATTAAGAATAATGTTAAGTGATAGTTTAGTTTTGTCTATCCTGAACTTTGCTGATTTAGTGTGCAAAATACAAAAGATTCAGAATTATTTTTACGTGTAATTCATAGAGTTCTAAGACGAAAAAGTATTCCCAACAAATAGGTTGTAACGGGTTGGTTGGATGGCAATGTGTAGCCTGCTTATTTCACAGAAGAACCATAACGAAGATTCCGATTCACTTATATGAAAATATTTCATTTCAACCAGATGTTCACACAATCACTATTCGATTAACTCCACCAACGACTTATTGGAAAAAAACAAGAATCCAATATATTGCTTTTCTGACGACAGCATACTTGTCTGGTCATTTCATTTGGATTCCAGGACATCAGCTGCAGATGCACAATTTCACCGGCAGCAGGAGGTTGCATATCTTAATGAGGATCTAGAAGTGACTTTGAAAAACCCAGGCATTGGTTTTCTCCAACAAGATAAATGTCTCCGAAACGAATATAATAATGTCAGGTGGAACAATTTTGCTTTCTGCTTTGATAAGTTTGTTGTAATAGGGGAGCCCGAGCGGGGATTTTGGGATTTACTAAAGCGTGGCAGATTGATATACAGGGGGGTACCTCGTACCCGGTTAAGTACCTCCACCAAATATGAGCCCCATATATAAGGCCGCCTGTGAGGGATAAAGGATCAGATTAGAAAAAAAAAATGATTATCAGAAATTCTCGAGCGCGTCAGATTAAGGTAGGGTGAGTTAATTACCTACTAAAAAGTGTATATTCCAGTAATCTGACAATTTGAGAGTGAGTTGAAAAAAAATAACGTCATTTCGACATTCCCGAGCGTAGCTATTTTTTTATTTTTTATTTTGAAGGAAATAATTCAAGGATAACGAAAAATATATAATCTTACGATTTCCGCAAGCCGAAATAACAAAAATTCGTCGATAAAGTTTAATGGGTGCAGCTGTGAGATACCTATATTTCCCTCAACGAGTTTCTATTCCTCTATTCTCTATTCACTTGTTCTCTATCTATTACTCTCTCACTCCGTCCCCACTCTGAATTCTGTTGCCATGACGTATGAAGATGAAAATGATGATTAATTAATTGATGGATGTAGCCGTTACTACGTGGTAGTGAATCATAATGAAGAAAAGATAAATTAAACTTTCTTTGTTTTTACCACTTTTATTTGTAACTAACGTTTCGGCATTTTCGTCCTATGAGGACATTTTCAAACTTATACAATATATAAGTTTGAAAATGTTCTTATAGGACGAAACTGCAGAAACGTTAGTTACAAATAAAAGTGGTAAAAACATAGAAAGTTCAATTTCTCTTTTCTTCATCAAATAAGCAATTGATTATAAAAAATTTAATTTTTTTGAGCATTTAAAAAAAAATCTCATGAATACAAGTATTCTACTTGAAAAACATACACTTAATTATTTGCATGCTATATCCTGAGCTTTTCAATCAATTAAGTTCAATGAATTGACATTTTTTTAAAATATGGTTTTTGTCAGATTAAGCGAATCCCTCTAGATAATCGTCAGATTATGAGACAGCACGTCTAAAACATAAAGATGAACCATATATATCTTAATCTGACGCGCTTGAGTATTTCAAAATGGTGAATTTTTTTAGCACATTATAATAATGGCCGCGAGTTTGCGTCAGACCGAAATCGTCAGATTATTGAATGAGAGCTTTTTATTGTTGCACTTAACGCCCCCTTAGAAAATCTGGCGCGCTCGATTGAATTTTTTTTTTCACATTTAACCCTTATGTCCAAATGGATACCATTTTAACCCCCAATCACAGGGGGTTAAAATGGTATCTTGGCACAATCATGTCGCTGGAATTGCAAAGGCTGCTTCTCAAAAGCTTGGAACACTGTTCCAAAACTTTTGATGCTTTATATAAAGCTCAGATCCCCCAAACATACCCTGAAGTTGCTGGATTCCATCCCGAAAAGAGGGATCCGCCTGATGTTAGGCTTGTGTGTAGTAGAGAAAAATCAGTAATCTTGAATTATTGATTTGAACTTCGCCTTTGATGTCAGCCCTAGGATTAAAATTAATTTTCCAAATGAATTATTATTATTATTACATGTCACTCGCATTCAGAACAATGCAATCGAGAGTCAAGTCCAGAACATGAGGCTTTTCTAGTTGAACTTCTATATTATGGCTTGCTATGGGTTTTGTTCCTGGCCCCACAACTTTCTTTAATACATTCACCATCAATGTTGGTGTTCCGTTTTTGCCTATTGTTCCCAACCCTTTTCCTTTCACATATCAACGTACTATTAGAAAATACTACGAATGCATTTGTATTTTTTTACATTAGTATGTCACCAATGTAAATCTTCTATATCAATAGAATACTATATTTTTCAACTACTTCACAAATGTTTGGAGAAACAGCTAACTGGAAGAGTATTTTTCATGTAATTCAGTGTTGATATGAAAAAAGTTGATTCTCGTAGTTCAATGTACATCCGAAATCATTTGTTTCGAAGGGGCTTTTTGTTCCAGTTTGTATTTGAAAGAAATTTCTGCATCTGATCTACACATCTTTACTGTTTTCTTTTCTTCTCTATAAAGAAGGAGAAACAGAAAGTCGAAGTTTTTTCTCGATAAAGTTTTATATCTTAAGGAAGATCTGAAGGAAAATCAGGATAGGGCTGTTAGTGACCAACAAATGTGGCTAAACCGGACATAATGATTTCACACTCAATTTCGCTATCTGGTGTACGTACGCTACTTTTTCTAGTTTAATTATTGGGGTGGCATGGTGAGTAAATCGATCAGATGAATTTGTGATCCAAGACCAGACAGCGCTTATTTGGCCCACCAGGTAGCATCAGTGTTGTTAGGCTCAACTACTGAACTGTTCCAAAAAGAACAAGCCCGAAAATGAAGGCGATGATATCTCTCCCTATGAAGACGTAGGGAGAGATTGAAAATTAAAGATAAACCAAGCTCCCCAGGGTTGTTAGTGGACATTGAAGTCACCCAATATGAAAATTTCGGCGATGTTCCCATGGAAATATCAAAATCTCCATTGGCATTTTGTTGAGGTGGAAGATATTCATTCCGGCAGAGAGAACACATTCCAATTTGTTTGTTCCTTAAACCCCAATTCACAATATATCGGATTATTACTACAACAAATTGTAAAATTACATCATCCATGAACAGAAACGAAGAGGAAAATGGAATCGTGATAGATATCTGTTTTGTGATATCAACAAATGCTAATACGTGAGCACATATTCGACTATCTGTTTGTTTTCCCCATTTGTCAATATAATGTATTCGTGCTTCAATGGACACCGGATGTTTCGGAGTTATATTATTTCGGCTATACATAATTCAAGAACTGAAAGGGAAGGAAATAGAATAGAATAGAATAGAATAGTTTATTGGCTACGTGATACATTTGAACAAATATTTGTAGCAAGTCAAAACACAAAAATTTCTAAATATGACGTCTTATATACAAATAAAACACAATGCTTGTATAACAGAACAGTGTACATAATAATGAAAACAATCAATCAACTAATGTTAAAAATGAGAACAATTGTTACTTACTCAAAGTCACATGAATTATCTATGTTGTATAACATGTATTCATCTGTAGAATAAAAACAGTGATTCAAAAAAAATGATTTGAGTTTTTGCTTGAAACAGTAGAAACTGAGTTGTTTTATGTGACATGGTAACTTATTATAGAATTTCAAATTCAATGAATTATTTTGTGAGGTGCTCAGTCTGAATCTCTCAGTTCTTATCAGATTACCTGATCTTGTAAGATATTCATGTTGTTGCGATTGTAAAATGTATTTTGATTTATTTTTATGAATTTCAATCAATGTTTCATATACAAAAGCTGTAGGAAGCGGCATTATTTTGAGATGAATAAAAAGTGGGCGACAATGATCTTTAAAGTTGGCATTAGATATTAAACGTATGACTCTTTTTTGCAATATAAAAATTTTTTTGGAATGACAAGAATCCCCCTCCCCCACTATCACAAATAGTGAATGGTGTGAACGAGGTTCTGCATACAGACGGAGTTTGAAAATAAGTGAGCTAGAGAGCAAAGATGTACTTATAGTTATTTGGCAAGGTCATTTTGTAAAATATCAAAACGATGAATACGTCTTATATTTGTATGAAGGCTCATTAGATGGCGCTACAAAAATGTGGCATCACCCTATTCATGAAATGTACCTTAAGTTGTCTTGGAATCTGCAGCAAATTAGAAAACGACAGCATATTTATTGGATTGTGAGTGTTTGCAAAACGCTAATGAGTGAGAACATGAAAATCTTCGTTGGGAAGTGTTTAACTATTTTAACAAAGTAACACGACAATAATATTTAGGATCAACTTTTGATTAAGAAGCATCACAGGAAGAGACTGTTTATGATTCGTTTGTGAAATTTCGTCGTTATTGTGCGTGCACCTGTCTTTAATCTAGTGAATGGCGATAAACTTGGCTGTTGTTCCAAAAATGTCGATGTCATGAGAAACGTTATCGAAGATCAGCGTGAGATATAAAATATCATGAGACAAAAACTACGTTCGACATATCACAGACTGCAAAATATTCGATTTTCTGAAAAATGTCTATTTCTGATGAATTTCGCACAATTTGGAACGCTTAAAAAACTTCATACGTATTTGTGTGAAGAAATGCCCAAGTAATTCAACTGTCCGGCTACAAAATTGGTACACAACATAGTTGCAAGCGACAAAACATGGATATATTTACATGAACCGGTAGCTAAATAACGATCAGTTGTATGACTAGTATCGTATATTGTATATTGTGTATTGTATATTGTGTATTGCATATTGTATATTGTACAGGGTGATTCAAAAGTACTTTGACAAACTTCAGGAAGTGATTCCTCACAATATTCTAATATGAATTGTCCAAATAAATAAATGTCCGTAAACGCTTCGTTTCCAAGATACAGGATGTTGAAGTTTTATTTTTATTTTCATTTTTTTCAAATAACTTTTGAAATACTGAACTTAATTAAACGAAACTTGGTAATAGGAGGTTTTTGAGGTGTCGAATTCGAACCTGATGTTCTTATTGCTCTTACTCGTAGGGGGCGCCACCTACACGTCTTTTTCTTTTTAAAAAACCTCCTATTACCAAGTTTCGTTTAATTAAGTTCAGTATTTCAAAAGTTATTTGAAAAAAACGAAAATAAAATTTCAACATCCTGTATCTTGGAAACGAAGCGTTTCCGGACATTTATTTATTTGGACAATTCATATTAGAATATTGTGAGGAATCACCTCCTGAAGTTTGTCAAAGTACTTTTGAATCACCCTGTATATCGTATATTGTGTATTGTATATTGTATATTATCGGATTATTTCAATAATACACCACACATCAATTTGATAATGAATGTACGACGTTTAATTGAAAAATATATTTTAGTAGTTGTTGCCCGCCGCTTCGCTCGAGTAGAATTTGGTTTGTCACATTCGTAACAGACCATTTTAAACAAATAGTTACAATATTTTTTTATCAACCCATAACTTCAGGTTTTCAACTTCAAAACTGAGGAAATTCAATACAATCGTTGAACCTTTATTTTCCCCCTTGGGGGTGAAAATTCCTGATTCCCTTTCTTGATGCTTATTTACGCTGTACAAAGAACCTACCTGCATATTTCAAGATTCTAGGTTAGGTGTAAACATGAACTTCGAGTAGCAAAACTGTTTGAGTAAAAACATACAAAAAGTGATTTCTTTAATTTTTTAACAAAAATCAAAGTTTCGTCACTTTCTCGTCCTGGCAACCTGCTTCACAATAATCTTTTTTTATTGAAGACATTTCCTCATCAATTTTCTGATATCCATCAAACATCTCTCCGGGAAGCATTCACATTTTTTCAGTACTACATCAAGCCCCAAAGACAAAAGAATATATCAAGAGTTCCCAATTCCAAGGAAGTAAAATGCTTCTTTTTTTCCTTAGCGCTGATCCCCAATTCCAGTCTTCTGTCATCAACACCAACGTCATCGTATCCAGTACGGGAGAGGTGGTGTGGCTCAGCCATGGTATTTACCGGTCCTCGTGCGACATTAACGTGGAATACTTTCCATTCGATCTTCAAAGCTGTCACATGAAATGGGCGTCCTGGACCTATGATGGATACCAGGTGAGTTATTTAATGAAAAATATTCTGAATATTTCGGATCAATTACCGATAGAAATTCCTACCAGTCTTCATTAGTCTATTCAAATACCGACCACAACATGAAGATAGGATCACTCGTAAATGAAAGCTAGTGAATTTCATTGTTCATCTGTTGACAGTTACTTATCAAAGTTTCAGCAATTTTGGATGCGCAGTTGTTATTTAACAGTCATTTTAGTGAGTTGATGTGAGTTTTTATTCGGAAGTTTATTCGGATAAAATGCAAAATAATATAGGTGTACCCCTAGGGTCTATTTTGGGACCATTGTTATTCCTCATATATCTAAATGACATCGTAACCATAGCAGAAGAATGTAAAATTCACTTATTTGCAGACGATGCCCTACTGTACTTTAGTAGTGAAGATGTACATGAGTGTGTTGATACTATAAACGCTAGTCTTGAAAGGGTGTATAGAAATTGCTCTGCTGAAGGTGAAAGTAAAATAAAATGGATGTTATTAGGGAAACTCAGAGATCATAATAATGAAAACCTACTTCCACGATTGAATGACAGTAATATAGAGAAGGTAAACAAATACGTGTACTTGGGTGTAACTATTGACAGCAACTTGAAATTCAAGGAACATGCTAATCAAGTTATCAAAACAATAGCTTACAAAATCAAATATTTAAGAAGATGTTCCCCATATATGAGCCAGTGGTCTAAATTATTAGTCTACAACTCCATAATCTTTCCACATTTGAATTATTGTTCTACCATTCTGTTCTTTCTCAATTAAAATGAAATAAACAGACTAAAAAAGATGCAGAATCGTGCTATGCGAATAATCTCACAATGTTCGAGAATAACAGTCATAGCAAATATGTTGCAAACCCTTCAATGGCTACCAGTGAAGGAACTCTTTGAGTACCAAACACCAATTTTTATTTTTGAAGTCAAAATTGGATATTCTTCACCTGTATATCTACAAAATAAATCAACTTATGTGGCTGAAATACATAGGCATACTATTAGAAACATAAGCAATATAAAAGTTGAAAAATATAAAAAAATTATTCGCATAATGCTTCATAACATAACATAACACTCCAAAAAGGGGGCAAATCGCGCTGATGAGGCCAATAGCCAGAAATATGTTTCCGCGGTTTCCCCCCTTTTTGGCGTGTTATGTCCACATTTCGGCTGAGAAAGTGATGGCAACTGGTTTTTGTGATAATTATGGAGTTATTTCAATCGAGTATCTTTAAAAAGGAAACACTATCACAGGAGCCTACTAAACATCATTACTTGACAAGCTTAAGGCAGAACTTGCGGGTAAACAGCCTTATTTGCAGAAAAAAAAATCTGTTTCACCAAGACAATTCACCGTCCAACACCTTAGAATTGTCATGTCAATAATCTACGAATCACGGTTTAAACTGCTTGACCATCCGCCTCGCTCACCAGATCTAGGCCCGAGCGACTTATTTTTGTTCCCTCATCTCAAAATTGCGCTCGTAGGACAGAGATTTTCGTATATAAGGTGTAACTGAATAAGTGTAAAACATTTAAGGAGGTGATTCCTCATCGAAAAAAAGATAGGATCTTTCATATAAAGAAACTTCATTGGAGCATCCCTTGTTAAGAAACAGCCCCTTAAAGGGGGTACATGAAATTTTTTTCACAAGCACTGTAGCGGTTCCTAAAATAATTTTTTGCTGCCGAACTGGTTTATTTTGGGCAAAAAACCCAAGAGACATTTTTTGTTCAGTATGAAACAGGCTATCGGAAATAAATTTTTAAATGGTAAAAAAATAATAAGACAAAAAGTTACATTGGAAATGAATTTTAGGGGTTGCGTTTTCCACCCCTTACAACCATGGGGTAAACCAAATAAATATCTGGCTGAGTTTTTTTTGGTAGTACAAAACGTCAAGTTAATTTCAATAGGTATTGTAACTTTTTTAGTGCTTGTGAAAAAATTGTTATACAAATAATATGTACCCCCTTTAAGGGGATGTATCTTAACAAGGGATGCTCCAATGAAATTTCTTTATATGAAATATCCTATCTTTTTTTCGATGAGGAATCACCTCCTCAAATGTTTTACACTCATTTAGTTACTTTACATACTTCACATGGAAATTGTTTGATTATACCAAAAAGCAAACAGTGGAAACTTGCTCATCAACCATGGTATTCCTCAGGGATTCATACTTACTTACTCTTTTCCTAATAAACATCAATAACCGTATTTCCGAGCACACCATCTTGTGGCAGAAAATCCCATATTCAAAAATAAAATCAACAGTGACAACAATTCACTAAACGCATGCTGCATGGTTCATCATATATAAATGTTTCAGAACCCAATGTTTTCTAGTGTGATTTGGGGAATTTATTTATTGAAAAGTAAACTTTTTAGCGACCTAAATTTTTAGCAATCTGTATTGATGATCAACAATATTTTTACAATTTCGATATTTCAAAGAAGGAACTAACCTCTGTTTTTCGGTGAAATTAGCTTCTTATGACATTTGACATCTGTCAAAGAGAAATGGGAATTCTTGTAAACTTTCATTCGCGCAACAAAATAGGTTTGCATAAAGAAGACCTTAGCTGAGACAAAGATAGATTGTCTTGTTTCATGCGACAACCCTAATTATGTTGAAGAAAATATGAATATCCAACAGAGGGCTTGTACAAACTAGTACAAAAAACCAGATGGCAGGAAAAACGCAAAATATCTAAGAGGCCGCAGTGCTTTCTCAAAATAAATGGACAAGTCAGATAGTTTTCAAAATGGCAAAAAAGTCATGTTGCAAGAGTTTCAACTGTCTACCATTGGGTATAACATAGATTATTTCAACTTTCTGATTGATATCATTTGAAGTACATATATTTTTCTGAGTTGGTTGAGAATACTGAATGAGGAAATAATACAATGAAATCAGCAAATGGAACTGAAAAATCAACAACTGATACTAATGACAAAGACACAGAGTAGCCAACTCAGCAAAAATACGTGTACTAAAAGTAGAATCTTCAGTGATTTGGACATTGAAATGAAACTGACTTCCAAACAGCAAATGAAACTCAGAAATGAACAATACAAAAAAGGCGAATGAGCACATAAAATACATTTCGTCTTCTTCTGAGATTCAAAATTCTTTGATAAATTCCACGTGAAAATGAAAAAAATTTATATAAAACTTCTCCCACAGGTAATGAACATATTCTCCAAATAGAAAAAGAATGATAGCACAAACAAAATCAATTACTCTGTAAATATAAGCTTTCGTAATGAAACTCATCAAAAGAACGTTGATTGATCATTATGTCCGGAAGTTAAAATCAAGTTTACGTTTCTATATAATTTGTGGGAAGCCAGAAAAGCTTTCGAAACTCGTAACAAGACACAATCACGTTGGTTTTGATGGGCAACTCCTGTCGTTAAATGAGATTTTCCGCTGGAATCTTGTGAAAGAATGTCCTCATAAGGGCTTTCGCACGATTCTGGAAATTCGTACCAAGTTTCAGGCTTTCGAAGTGTTTCAATCATGATCAATATTGGAAGAGTTGAATACAAATACTATTGAGAAATCGTTAAACATAATAGTAAAAATGTTTTCATTTATCGGTAAATTGAAAGCATTGTTTTGTATTCCGATTAAAATAAAATTTGTATAAAAAAATTATTGTCCTGGCATATGAGCGTCACATTGAGTTGCGAACCCACGAAATGAATAATGATAATAAATATGCTTTATTGTCCAAAGAAAAGTTCTTATTGACAAAGCATTGGTGAACATTTTGAGAAAGAAAAAACATAGGCAAGTGCATGAAATCAGAATATAAACTAGTAAATTGATAAAAATATCTAGAGTCCTACCATAAATATAAAAATAAAAATTTTGAAAGTCGCATTTTCTGAAAAACATTGGATTATATACAATATAACTGAAATATAAACATATATTTATATATACATATATATACACATACATACATACATATACAAACACAAAAATAATAGAGAGAAATGTGTATAAAATATGATTAAAAGGTATCGTCATAAAATTCTTGCAAACTATAATAGGGCCTCTCGCTAAGAAAATTCTTTCTAGATTTTCGAAATTCAGTACAGATTACTACGCATTTTAGGTAGTTTGGAAGATGATTATACATCTTGAGACCATTATACAATATAGAATTTTTAATTAAAGTAGTGTTAGGTGTGGGAAGACTCAAATTTAGGGTCTGGCGTGTGGTGTAATGAGAGACAGTAGAGGGAAGTTCTGTTCTATGTTTATGCACTATCAAACTGTTTCTAAAATGAATAGAGCATACAGTGATGAACTTTTGTTTACTAAAAACAAAGGCCTACAAGAATCTCGCCGCCTGGCTCTACAGAGAAATCTTAATGACCTTTTCTGCAGAATAAAAATCGACTCGAGTCGAGTTTGATTACTTACCCCCCCAGAAATGTATCCCATATCTTAGATGTGATTCTACTAATGAATAATAGACAGTTTTAGCTGCAGTTAGTCCTAGTTCGTTAGAAGTTATTTTCACATCATAACATCCAGATGAAAGTTTTTTGTTAAGAGATATTATGTGGTCCTCAAATTTCAATTTATTTTCAATTAATAACCCAAGAAATTTGTTGCATGACGTGTTCTCACTTACATTCGAATTCGAAGTTAGAGGAATATTATCAAAAATGCAATTAAAGGATAAAACTTTAGTTTTTGAGACATTGAAAGCTAATAAATTTGCCTTACACCAATCTGAAAGTTTGGAAATATCAGAGAAAATGGCACTATATAGATCATTTGTTTAGCGCCATAATAGTGTAATGTCGTCGGCGAATAAAGTAAATTTACCCCAATATCAATGGTAGTCAAATCATTGATATAGAGTAGAAATACGGTAGGTCCCAGTACTGATCCTTGTGGTACTCCGTTAGATATGTTAGAAACATCAGATACTGTTGTATATTTAATCCTTTGACTTCT